ACATCGGGCTCCCTGCTCAGCTGGGGGTCTGCTTCTCCCTCTGACCCTCTTCCCTCTCGTGCTCTCTGTCTCTCATTCTCTCTCTCTCAAATAAATAAAATCTTAAAAAAAAAAAAAATTTCTAATCAGTTCCCTAAAGTTCTAGAATAAAAATACAGTCCTTACATTGTAGAAAAATTCTGTTTCTTTTACTAATGTCATCCCTAAATCACCTCTCTATAGAGGCAGAGCACACTGATTTGCCAAAAAGTTAGAAATGGGAACATTTCATTGAGGAGAGTTCTGGGATAGTTTTCCTGAGCAATTGGCTAGTATAGAGACATCTGTCACTTTACAGTGGTTGAGGCTGCAGATTAAACCCTAAAAAAAGTATTTTTAGTATTTTTTGTTCTCTCTCTGCTGTACGTCTGACTATCTAAATTTTCTCATACATACGTCTTGCCTATTCCACTAGATGACAAGAGACTAAATCCCACCACGGGATTTAGAGGGTCAATGACACGCTGCTGATAAAAAGTAGAGAATAGGACCTAAACAGAAGACCTCCCGTCTTCCAGTTTGATGGCTTCTGAGACACCATGTTACCTGCTTTCTACCTGCTGACTCCCTTGTAACACATTCTGTGCATGCATTACTTTAATCTTTATATAACGTTCCAAATGAGTCCTGAGGGGTGGGGAGAAGGCTCCAAAATAAAATTTTGAGTAACTTACTACTATTTTCCGCTTGTGTTTTCTTCATCCTTACCTGACAGCCTGCCCGAAGGGATGTTAACCTTGTTTGGAAAGTTAGCTATTTCTGGTTCATTTATAAGCACTTGCTATCTGAAATCTAGGAATTACATATCTCCACAGCAAGTCTGTTTTGTTGGTCAACTCTGGGACTGTAAAATAGCCAAGTCTGTTCTCTCCCTATGACCATTTTTCCGACCGCTCCTTCGTGACATCCAGGACTGTTCCTGAATGTGTTCTTTCTGCCTTCCTCACTCCTGAGCAATGATTTTTTTTTTTTTTTTTTTTGGTAAATCAGGGTAGTCTATGATGCCACCGTGTTTGCCCCAGCAATTCCTAACTCCTAGTGAAATGTCTGGTGTGATGAAGACTGTCCACTCTAACCTAGTCCAGGGCTCCCATCCAGACACTCGGACCATCCTTCAGGTGCAAGCACAGAGCGAAAAGATAGAGACCTGCCCCCATCCAAAATCCCAGGTGAGGGCGGATGGTCCTCCGCTAAGAACATAAGAGAACTTCACAGTCATCACGGAAGCACTTCAGTGAGGTCTCTGACAGCTGGGACAGAGCCTGACTTTGGCTCCCACCCCAACCGCAAAGCAGCAGGAAGGAGACAAGCAGGACACGGCTCAGCACAGGTAACATACTCACTCCGCGGGGGTGGGCAGCAGCTTGGCTGGTGATGAGAACATGAGGAATGCCATTCTTTTTTCCCTTGTGGGTTTACATGGTACTATCCTTAAAGGTCACATATAAATGTGTGTGTGTGTGTGTGTGTATGGAAGTTTGTCTGTTTTAACAGGTATTCCTGGACACTTTAAAAACTCAACATGTGCGTCTGTGAATCACCCCCAGTTTACAGAATTTGGAGTTCATAGGACCCTTCTATCCTACTGAATGCCCCTAGCAGACAAACTTGAAGGAAAAGTTCAGAGTCGGGAACTGAAAATGTTCTTAAGAAACTCCCTGTGAATAGCTCCACTCTTGCATGACTCCAGAACTATAAAAAGTCCTATGTAGCATCGTTTTAAAACATTCCTATATTTTAATTCCCTTCACTTAAACTCCAAAAGGTTAACTAGACAGTCTGATCATCATTTGGAAGGAAAGAATAAAGAGACAGAGGAGTACCCTCTCCTGCCCCCTTGGCGATGGGGCGCATCCTATCAAAGGGGCCTTCACAAGTTCTGGGTAGAGACCAGCAGGATGCACCACACACTCAGAGATGCTGGTGAAACAGATGGCAGCGAGAAGCATCTTTGGGGCAGAACAGCCGGGAACTACAGCAAACAAAATGCTCTCTTTCCCACTAATGCCAAAGGACTGTGGTCCTTCTGGGGAGCAAAAAGGCTGATGTTTGGACTGCAACACATGTAAATTCTTCCTCTGCACTGGGCTGCTGGTAAAGCCAGTAAGATATCAATGTGAACCAGCTGTGGCTTACACAAACCATATAACAGCACGGGTTCAAGCTTTTTGGCTTCCAGTCCAGGCTGGGTGAGGAGGGCCAGAAACAGGAAGTCCCACCACTGAGCACATCATCTCCTGTGCCTCCACACCCTGAGAACGTGAATATTTACAGTCACGTTCTGCAGATACAGAAACCTGCCCAAAGTCACACACCTGTCCGTGACAAGGCCAGCCTTCAAGTACAGTCCTGTCCGCCTCTCTGGAAAAGAAGTTTCCTGTATGTTTCAAGTGGCTGGATATAAGATAACAAACCTCTTTGAACTGTTCTGCAGGGAATCTGGTCTTGAGAAGTTTATAGGATAGGATCACGGCGACCTACTGATGGACTGCTGGCTGCCCCTACAGAGTACTGCCCGACTCAGCTTTTTTCGTGCTGGTTCAGTTTAGGAAGCTCCAGATGCCCGAGGTTCGGGAAGTCCATCCACATCATAACGTGATCGTGAAGTTCAGTCCATGTGCCACCTGGACACAGAGCCAGTTAAAGGACCCCACATGCCACTGAGAAAGGAAGGGCTTCGGGCACCCAGGTGGCTCAGTTGGTTAAGCATCTGACTCTTGATTTCAGCTCAGGTCATGATCTCAGGATCGTCAGATCGAGCCCCGTGCTGGACTCCAGGCTCGCATATGAGCCTGCTTAAGATTCTCTCTCCCTCTGTCCCTCCCCTCACCCCCACTCAACTCACATTCTCTCTCTCTCTAAAAAAAAAAAAGAAGACAGGAAGGGCTTCCATACCTCTTCACCGCAATGGCCAGGTTTTCCATTTCTGTGCTCTGCAGTTTGATCTCGCGGATAAAGTTCCTTATAACGTGTTCGTATGGCTGAATTAGTCTTGGCTCCACAAGGTTGATGTTTAGATATAAGGTACTAACTTGCTCTTTTCTGCCCCCCAAAAAAGAAAAGAAAACCTAAAATTAAAAGCTAAATTAAACCAAGTAAAAAATAAAAAGGCAAATTTTCAGAATACTTTCAGGAATGAGACACATAAGAACCAAAAAAAGAGAAAAGCAACAATATAGAAGGACCAGAAGGGAGGGAAGAGAGAGCAGTCAGAGATGCTGTGGCATTATTCTCTGTATTATTTTTAAAATGTAACAGCAAGTTTATTTTTTCCCAGATTTATTGGGGTATGACTGATAAATAAAAACTGTATATATTTAGGTTTCCAAGTCATGATTTAGTGTTAGAAGATATAGACTGGTGAGGGAAGAGAAATGCAGAGGGAGGGACTGACAGGTAGGGGCATTCTTTGTTATTACTGTAGGATTTTTTTAAAAGAAAGGTAAATAGGGGGCATCTGGTTGGCTCAGTTGGTACAGCATGTAACTCTTGATCTCAAGAGTTCCAGCCCCACGTTGGGCATGGGGAGAAAGAGAGAGAGAAAGAAAGAAAGGGAAGAGAAGAGAAGAAAGGAGTAGAAATAGAAATAGAAATAGAAAATGAAAAAAGAAAGGTAATAAGTTGTACAGAAAAATGTAACCAATGGTTACCAAAAGGTAACCATTAAACTGATGAATAACATGTTCCACCAATCCCTAATAAGACATATTTCAGCCTTTATGATCATAAGAGTGAATGTACCTATTATTTTATAGTCAAAAATTACTTCATATAAATTCACATGTATTTATATGTGACAATCCTCATACTTGTCATTATTAACTTTTATTAAAAGACACATATTCCAGAGTCGTTTCAAAAGAAAAACTGGGCAGCTCAGCTCCTGGAGGACAAAGGTGTGAGTCAGTGGGGTTAGCAGTGCTCCTGACTCAAGTCCAGTGGCTGACACGCTAAGTGTACGGAGAGGAGACTCTGTGAAGACACGGAAAGCTGGCCATCGAAAAGCCAAGGAGACAGGCCTCATTAAGAACCAACTCCACGGTGCCTTGATCTGAGACTTCTGGCCTCCAGAACTGTATGAAAATAAATTTCAGTTGTTTAAGCCACCAGTCTGGTATTTGTTACTAGAAATTCCTAGGAACCACAGCAATCAATAAAAGACCCAAGGTCCCAGAGAGACTGAGTGACAGAGCTGGGATTCCACCCTAGTCTGATGCTGCAGACCACATGATCCGCCATAACATTATTTTGCTTCCCAATTGTGTTAAAGCATCTGAACCGTGGCAGAAGAAATGGGATTCAAAATTAATTCACAGAACTATGAAACACTGCAAAATGTGAGGTATATATTAATCTAGAGGCTTAGTTAAGCATGGCCTCAAGGTGTGTCCATGAGCTATAAAATCCCCCAGGTTTGCACTTAGAAATAAACTGCTCAGTCTGTGCAGAGGCCAATTATGATTGAAAAGAACTGCTCAAGTCAAATATTATTAATAAAGCTGCAGGATTAAGTCACTTTATTTGATATAAGACACAGGAAGTGGCCACCATCCTTCCCATCAGAGCTGAGTACAAACACTAGTCGCAATAGTGAGCCGTATTTACTAGAGCAATAAACAAAACAAAACTACTCTTAGATTGTCCCATGCAACTTCAGTGCATAACAGGATCATTACTTTTGTCAGTTACTGATCACCAGCAGGATACAAAACATAAAAACTTTCTCCTTCACAGGAACCTGCCTGTCAGAGATGGCCATTAAGATACTGTCACCTAGAGTCCTTGCTTATTGGCTAACAGCACAATAAAATGTTCACAAGGAGAGACCAGCAGCTTTCCTGATTTTCTGCAAATTTCAAAAATAAGAAAGAAACATAATGATTTGTAAATTTTTTTGCTGGTCTTGACATTATAAAGAATTTCAGAAATGGTTTACAGTGAAATATACAAACAGATCAATTACGGAAAATATCGGCATTACAGAAAATATGTGATATGGTTAACCACTGTGCTACAGGCTAGCTGAATACTCATCTATCCTGCCTCCTATCACAGGGCACACAGGGAGAAATGCCTTCCAGGAACCGCAGGCAGGAAGACTAGAGTCACGTGACTAGTTCTGGTCAATGGAACGGGAACAGAAATGCTGTGTTGGCCACTTCCATGCTTGTCCCCAAAAATCCTTCGTAAGATCCTCAGCTTCTATTCATTCATATTCTCCCTCTCTCTCTCTCTGTCTCTCTCTCTCTCAGCATCTCTCCTTCCATCCCCCTTCCCTCTCTCTCTTCCCACTCCTTCTCTACCTCCCTCCATCTCTCTTCCTCATTCCCACAGCTGAAGTGAAGAATTCTAATAAGGCGAAGTCATGGGATAGAATGCGCTCGGCTCCTGAATCACCACACTGAGCTTAACTACTCAGCAGGGCCACCTGACTACTTCAATCTGAATGACACACAAGAAAGAAATGTTTGTTTTGTAAAGCCACTAGGACTTGGAACTTTGTTACAGTCAGTTTGAACTTAAAAGGTTGGCATAAAGTTTCCTATTTTTTTTTTATTATCCTCATCCAGATTAAATTACTTCCTCATCTTTTTACTTGATAGCTTTATATTAACTATGTAAAAGTTTCTATGACCAGGGTAAGTCTTTAGCACCACCACCCACTCTCTCTCAAGGGAACAAAATACTACTGCGAAACATCATATACTGAGGCAGATACTTATTAAGCACCTTACGTATGTAGTCCAGGCAGTGATCCAGCAGTTACATGTACTATTCACTTAATCCTCATAGCAACTCTATAAAGAAGTTATCACCAGTATCCTGTTTACCAAAGAGGAAACTGAGGCAGAGACAGCAATGTACTGTCCTGGTAGCAGAGCCAGGATTCCAACTCAGCCCATCTGGCTCCAGAGTCCAGCTCCCCATGGAAGAACTAGCTCTGTGGGCCAAAAGTAAATGCTGAACTGGTCTTTAGGGGACCCAAGGGCATGTCTCCATTTAAGAAAATTTAACATATCAAGATTTTTTAAAAATTGCTTTGGAGGATGCTATGCATTATTGCTGCAAGGACTGTCCACATTATAAAGAGTCTCCCTTAAAGAATGAAGGCATGATGAAGATTAAAATGAGATAATCTTATAAAATTTGGTTTACTTAAAGCTATTTCGGGAAAGCACAACTGTAGACAATAAGGCCCCCTCCCACCTTCCCCGGCCCCCATATGCCTGTGTGTTTCATTTGGTCTGGTTCTGTGAAACTAGAGAACCATCTGGATTATGCCGAGAGACAGCCAACAGAACACACTTGGCAATTCTGACATCTGATGGAGAAAACAAAACAAAAATTTAAAAAACACCTTACTGTAACAAGAGATAATACCTTGCCCCTCTCTGTGAGCTTTAAAGGCTGTGCCCTGCCCAGGCAGCTAAACACATGTGGATTCTTCAGCTCAACAGACTTGGTGCCAAGACAATCTCTGTTCTGCTCCTAGGAGTGCCACAGTCACTGGCCTCCCCCGGTGTCCTTGCTCCCCACATCAAAGGTTAAGCAAACAGAGAATACACATCGCCACACACAAGCTCTGTTTCCTTCTGGCCTGACCCCAGGTGGCATATGTGAGGACTGAGAATGATGCCTGGTGGTGACAAGGCCTGAAGCACTCTTAATTCATTGAGTCTGGGGCCTCACCTCATGCAGTTACACTTGGATTCACAAATACCACGTAGACCTGCTTACAGGTGCGCTTGACAAATGTTCAGTAAAAATTAAGGGTCAAGCCATAGGCTTTAGTCAGCCAAGACAAAACACAGTCTCTACCCTTCTGTGCCAAGAGAGCCCCTAACACTAAAAATAATCTCATTTATGTCTGAAGGAAAAGAGATAGAATGAAAGGTAGAGAAAGATATCAGAGAAATGCAGATCAGAGAAAAACACGCCCTGAATTACCAACCAACTTTAGATGTTTAAATCCTGAGCCTATGCATCTTATTTGATAAATTACAAGATGATTTGTTAAAAAAAAAAAAAAAGACAGTGGTGGTGGGTAATTACTGATGAAAAACACAACTTAGAGTTTTAAAATGGTCCCTGGGAAATAAGCATTTTATATCACAAATATTCCCACTGAAGCTGAAAGGACTATTACATGAACTTAGAAGAAAAACAGGTCCACTTAGGATGTGTACAAATTATAAAAGGGTCACACGTTTTCACAGGATTTACTTAGAGGAGCACAGATATATCAACATTTATGTGTATATACTGGAATAGTGTTCGCCTTGAGAATGCTTGGACACCTCCGCTCCAAGGACACTTCTGGGAAATAGTCAAGCACAGACACACACTCCACACTAAGGAACATGGTGACCCAGTAAGATCATTAGGAAAACTGTCTCTTAGATCCCAAGTCTCACTGCATTAAGTATTAAATGGGGGGGGGGGGCTAACCTAGTCATTCAAACTATAAGTCAAATAGATCTAAAACCCAAGACAGTTTTCTATGAACAAAAGCCAACAGTATAAAGTACCAATGGCTGCATCATCCTACACTAGGGTTTGGCATAAGAAAATTGACATTATGACCCTAACATCTGAGTACAGGAAATTAAAACATCCATGCCATCCAAGGCATGGATGCTAGATCCTGGAAGTAAAATGCTAAGAAACAGACAAACAGACTCTAATGGGGGTTCCTTCCCCCATTAGACCCGCCATGAGGATTAAGTACAAGATATTCTGGCAGCATAGACAGGGGAACATGACCACCACTTGGAGGATAGCCTGAGGGATGAGTAGATGTCAACTAGGCAGCGAGTGGGAAAAGGGTGAAGGAGTGGTGGCCTGTCCCAGGCTGAAGGGGCGGGACGGTGCGGGGGCAGCAGGTAAGGCAGCTGCTCCTGTAACCAGAAGAAGCTGTTGGGGCTGGAGAGCTGGAAGTAGGGGAGGCGGCAGCAGCATCAGATGTGGATGTGGGGTGAGAAGTTAGCAGGAGCCAGAAGGCACAGCAAAGACACAGGAGGAGACAGTTATCAAGAGGGCAG